TGGGATTTATTTTTTAATTATTTTTTATTTTATTTATTGTGTCTAAAAGATTTATTTCATTAGGCAAAATTTACTTGAGAAATTAATTTGTCGCAAGGAGCATGTTTGTACCATGTAGACATGTAGGGGTGTAGAAAGGAAATTCAGAAACCGCACCAAACCTATAATCTGAGTCAAAAAAAAAATCCGACTATTATTCGGTTTGAGTTGGTTTGGTATTGGAAAAAAAAACTACCATGATTGGTTTTGTTTGGTTTTAACTAAAAAAAGACAAATTAAACCAAACCAATATGACATTACATGTATAAAAATTTTAAATATATTTAATACTAAAAGATACTTATTGTAATATAATTTATAAATATTTCTTAAACTTTCTCATATTTTTATTATTTGGAGAAATTTATGCAAAATAGCCATTGAGCTTAAATAATTAGTTTCTCTACCCATTTGAAAACTAATTGCAATATATACTTACCCAATTAAAACTAATCACCCAACCTACCTACCCATCCCACTTTTCTTACCCATTTGGCTTAACTTAGCTTGGTTTGACTTGAATTGGTTTGGCTTGACTTGACTTGATTTGGTTTGGCTTGGCTTGAATTGAATTAGTAGCTTAGTTTGACATCATTTGGTTGGCTTTGGCTGGGCATTAAAAAAAATGGATACATGAAAACTTGATGGGCAGAGGCGGGTAAATAATTTGTGGTGGATGAGTATTTGCCAAAGATCCTCTATTATAGGTGTTATTTCAAAGTTGGACTTAGAACTTTTGAATGCTCCAATAAGTTTTTTATCCCATAAAGTAACTCAAATAATGCTAACAAAAGTCCAACCAAAAATCAAATCAATACTAATACTAGCAAAAACATTCAATTCAATACTAGGAATGACAATGTGTTGGATATCTATTTTTTTTAGTTTTGTAATGATTTAGATAAAAATGAGTAACCTATTTTTATTTTTTCTTAATGTTTAATCAAGTAATTTATAGTACTTATTAGAAGTACTTATTGTAGCATGACTTAGTACTTTTAGATTATATTTTCTTAATATGGCTTATTAATTAGCAATATTTATTTTAAGTGATTTTATTATATTTATTGTTGAATATTTTAGGATAACGCCATGACACATCTCATATTTTATATTGTTTTCTTGAAAAATACCGTATATAGTTGTATATTACTAGGATTGAAGAAATATTGGGAGCACAAGTCACATATTTTGTACTATGAAGATTTTGCCAGGGAAAAAACCCGATTTTTTTTTTTGAAAAAACCAAAAATTCGAGAAAAATCGAGATTAAAATTTTTGACTTTTGTTGGATTGGTTTGACCTTTAGATTTAATAACCCGACACAGTTGGTTTGATTTTGTAATTGAAAAATCGGAACCAATCCGACCTATGCACACCCCTACCTACATAGAGTTAGAATGAGGCCTGTAAAATAGAGCCTCGTCTCCTTCTTCTCATAGAATTCGTGGGGTATGGTTTAACCCCGTCTTTGTATAATTTTTTCGCAACTAATAGAATATTCACATAGAGTTTTAAAGCTTTGAAATAAATGGTTAAGAATAAGAAAAAGTCTACACGGAAGAGATTGATAACATCTTATTGAGAGATCTCATTTTTTCCTATTACACAGAGTGATTAGCGAAGCAAACAGTGAGAATTGAACCTACATGTATAATGCGGGAGAGTCCAACTGGTACCATAGTCTACAAGTGTTGATACCCGTATTTTAAAAATTTGAATTAAGACCGAAAATTTACTATCAGGTTTAGGAATAAAGGGCGAATATTAAACAAAGAATTTCGAGTTAGAGAAAGGACATGTTAAAATGGAATTCGTTTCTGTATCATGAAAAAAGCTAACAACAAGAAACTGGACACTAGTTAGCAACGTTACATTTTCTTTTGCTTAATCTGCATCACGATCCTCATATAAGGCCGAGTTCCTTTAATATAACGAGAGAAAAAAAGAAATAATTATTGGTGTTTTGTGTTCTCAAAGAATAAGAAAAGACTCGATCCTTAGGTTGCTGCCTTGGTGCTTGCTGGTAGTTTTAGTCCCTTGTTACTTACGGAGTTAAGCTGTATCGAGGAAATCATTTTATCTCAATCAATCAAGAATGTTATATATTTCAGGAGCTAGGTTAGTTGGCGATGAACAAGTAAGAATTGGCTCAACCAAAATTGATGGAATTGGACCTAAAAAGCCATTTAGGTTCGTTATCGATTAGGTATCAGTGGAAACATAAAGACAAAAGAATTAACTAAGTATCAAATTGACCAAATTGAACAAATGATAGGTCAAGATCATGTTGTTCATTGGGAAATGAAGAGGGGAGAACGAGTAGACATCGAACGATTAATTTCGATTTCTTGTTATCGTGGAATTCGTCATCAAGATGGATCGCCCTTACGCGGTCAACGAACTCATACTAATGCTAGGACTTGTCGCAAGCTAATTCGGAAAGGAAAGAAGTCTACCGAAAGCCCTTGGTACTTATCTGATCAATCACACTGAGAGCTTCAATAGTTCACTGAATTTTTTTTGAATGATCGTGACAGCTCTTCAAATCCTATTCAGTCTGATTAGATATGTCACTGAAACAAAGTGATTCCGTTCTATCTCTGATTTCTTTTCAGATTCTGAGGATGAGATGGCCAATCCTAACATCATTTATGAGGATCCGGACGATGAAGTCTCCTCCTCAAACAAAAATGTCTCCGATGCTACTCTCCCGGCAAGAACAACTTTTTCTATTGTGATTGTTTTGGCGAGTTCGGTCAGGAGGGACAAAAGAGCGATGCTTTCTATCAGTCAAAAGTAGATATCGCCCCCATGCTCTCACAATCCGCTTATCGAGGAATAGAAAGTAGGGTTGGGGTATAGATCCATAAGCGCGGTGGGGGGGGGGTGACAGAATAGAAGGATATGAAAAAGTACTTATTTATTGGGAACTTCCGCTCCTCTATATTTGAAATATGCCTCACTAGGAGCATTAGGATCCGCAACTCAAAATGTCCCTTATGAAGTCTCTATTGGTCTTATTCTTATTGTGCGCCTTGTGAGCGCGTTTGGATCCGTGAAGGCAATCACTCGGATGTTCCCCTAACCCAACCGAGGAACGGACCGGAGGGAAACGCAACATGGGAAATGTCCGCGTCTTGTCGCAAGGCTCATTTTGAGTTGTGGGTCATAAGGCGGGCAGCTTTATCTTACCAAGGACCGGGGCACAAGGGTCCTGGTACTATCCAGGTGCGAAGAACCCCGGAGGTGATTGCAATGAGCAGAAATCTCACTCACGGACCTAAACGACGAGCAAACACTCAAAGGTAAGAGCAAGGTATCACCCAACGAATGGACGAGCTCAAAGGGGGGAGGGAGGCAAGAACCATGCTTTCAGAGACCTAACCCAACCCGGTCCGAATCTTATAAGAACTGCGAGAATAACTCACTAAGCCGTGCCATAAGGGGTCATTCTCCAAATGGGATGGGGCCAAGTCTTTAGATTGTTTAAGTAGGTTGGGTGACAGATCGGCCAAATGGGTACTCCGGGATATAAACTAGGGAAACAAAAGTGGAGCACACGACGATGCTGCCCGTTTTCATTTCGTGGAAGTCCCCGGCAGAGGAAAGGGCTGTAGGTGATGGCGTGTTTTGCTTCTTACGATGAGAGGGGCGTCAAAATCCTTTATATTGGTTCTTGCGTGGCACCTGGTATAGATGATTAAAGGCGGGCCGCTTTTTCGGGACCTATTCTCTTAATAGGCTGCAAAGCGAAATAGGAAAGGGGCCGAGCTGACTGATGAGTGCCTTTTTAGCCTTTATATAAAAGGCTCTCATGTGGAACTAACATGGCTAGCTACATACAAGTATAGACAAATTAAGATGAGATGGGATGGCCGTTCAGAGGCTGCAGTGGGACTACCGTAGGAAAGCCCTTCCCCGCTAGCTAACATAGAAAGAGATTCCCGGATAGCAGTAGTCTCTATTTGAATCTCTTCCCGACTGGCCAGGCCGAATCGAGGCACCACTTGGGTTGGGAACGGCTCAGCCCACATGCATCATTTGATGAAAGTACTCCAGTCGCCTCCAATGATTGGTTTGTCTACCACGCATTCTCTCCCTCAAAACAATGCTCTGAACACGAAAGTGTGCAGTTCCGCCCCCTTTTCCCATGCTAAGTCACAGGCAGCGCCTCGGAAAGCACGAACGAGCCACATGCGGGTAAACTTGCACATGTGGTTCTAGCCGGGGACCCCAGTATACTGTATTAATATGTGTAGGTTCCCATAATTCACTCGACCACACGATGAACATGTTTTAAGTTAACTGGATGTCGACCGCTTAAGCGGAGCTTGTGGTCACTCGTTCCTCGCTTGTTCGAAAGAGCTTCAGATTGGATTCAACACTACATACGATATTTTCTTCTGACTCCCCTTATGCCTTTTGCTACTCCACAATGCTCTCTCCAAAACAAAACTCAAGTGAGTGAAAGAAACCCGCATTCCCTCTCTTCTTTCCCCTATCGCTAGCGGCCTTGCCTTTTTAAAGAAAGGCTACATTCGATTTTGACAATGGGTAAATCTATTGCCCAGCCCAACCTTTATGCAGGAATTGACCAAATAAGGAAGATTGTGACCCCCAACAAAAAAGGAATGGCATTTCCGGGGAATAGCCCGCTTAAATAAACTAGATTGAAGAAAGGGAGGATATCCAAAAGGCTTAGAGAATGGGGATAAACTTCTCAGGATATCCTGATAACTAACCCACCTCGAGCTGATTGTGAGAAACCCATTTACGCCTTTGAATGAGAGTTTTGGGATATGGGGCCAAACCCTTTTCTCTCTTTCGCCCATCTACCTCGGCTGCCTTGTCTTCTTCAGTTGGAACATAACCCAGCCTATAAGTTGCCTTGTGATTTACAAAGTTAGGTGACCCCTTGCTCTTTCTTCCCCAAGCCAAGTCCAGGGAATGTCCCATCTCTATATGAGCCACGTATTGATTTGCATAGGATAAAAAGAAAGGGGCACCCTTTCTATAGCATTAACAAATTGGAACCCGGTTAGATTAAATCCTGCATTGTCATCCTTCACCTCGAAGAAAACTGTCTCCCTATAGGCATCTCCATGGATAGTAAGAAGTTCCCCATCTCCTTGCATCTTGCTCTTTTGTTGTAACGAAGAAGGAAGAGCACCCAAAGGCATGGTTACATGGCCTACCTAGTAAAAGATTCAAAGAAGCAGGGATATCCAACACATGTGATTCAATATTTGCGACACAACCACTGGCCCTCACTCAACCCTCGACCACTTTGTAGCCTCTTTCTAGGTTGCGTTTGACTTCTTTAAAGACGAAAGACAACCGAAGTCTTTGCTCCCTGGATAAGTCTCATTCGATGTTGCAACCGATGCTTAAAAGATCTTCTTCTATCTTCTCAATCTTCGATCAATCGTTCTCTACTTCATAGAGGAGGGGGTTCCCAGCTAACAAGGAAGCGGGATTCAAAAGAGAGGTAAATTCTAAACTGGACCGAGATGGCCTATACACAAATTGACCGACACCATTCATGAAGAAATAAAGATCGTTGCAAGAAGACCCCCCAACAAGACATGTAAATGGCAGAAACTTTACACAAGTAGAACGAACCTTGGGCTTGACAAGACAACACCTCGCGACTCCCTTTCAAGATGAACAATGTGGCTAAGCGTGCATCTGGGGCGGATGTGCCGATGGATGGAGGAGGCTGCATCTGGTAGTCAGTCTATTTCCACCAGCTGGCCGGTGGGAGCAGAAGCTTGGGATATGTTTGGTGTTTCTTCCATCAATCATCTGGACCTACGCCGTATATAAACAGATTTTGGTTTCGAAGGTCATCCATTACAAAAAGACCTTTCTCTGAGTGGATATGTGGAAGTACGCTATGATGATCCAGAGAAATGTGTGGTTTCTGAACCCATTGAGATGACCCACGAATTTTGTTATTTCAATTTTGCTAGTCCTCGGGAACAACGTAGCGACGGATAATTTCGAATCAGAATATCCAGTCTAGGGGATAAATCAATAGGAAATGTTATTTGCTTCGTAAGGATAAGAATTCACTTCTATGAAATGAAAGAGTTTCACCGGAATTGTCTTGATCGTCTGATATTATTGAGAAAGAAATAGGAAGAAGTGTTATCGAACGATTTCCTGCAATTCTTCCCAGTATGGAATGATTAAAGAATCATGCTACAAGTCTCGATCTATACGAAATACTGTTTTGTTTTGTTTCTTTCGATTTTATTAATAATGGAAAAGACTTACTCTAAAGGGGCGCTAGTGCTTGACTAATAACATATCAAAGGGGCTTGAAAAAATGTAATAGGCTGATCCTCTAGGATCGCTTCGCTTCTTCAAGATCCACCCCTTCTTTCAAAAATCAAAAAACAACGGTAACGAGCAAGAAAATGGATGCGCTAAGGCGTAACTTCGCGCAGCTGCTACGCCCTTGATTCTTGCCTTATCTTACTTAGTAAATCAACCTTTCGTGCTAGGTGCTCACCTTTTTTTCTGGGTGGAAGCTGGCGAGCAGGGCTTGCTTAACCGGATACACAGAATTGGGATCTCTGTTGCATGCAAATCTTTCTACTAGGAAAGCCTCGCTTATTTAAAGGGCTTCTTATTTAGAACCCTTTTTCTTGCTTAGTCGTAAGTAAGCATTGGTAGGAGAGGCGGGATGATGATGAGTATATAAATCAATAAAGACCAAAAAATAATAAATGGGAAGATAAATTAGATATCTATGGAAAAAATAACGATGTAGAAGGCGACTGAAAAGGAGGATCGACCTACAGGGAGAGTGGTGGGTATGGATTCTCTACAATGACACTGTTGTAGACCAATTGAAAGGGATGTAGCGTAGTTTGGTAGCGCCTTTGTTTAGGGTAAAAAATGTCACGGGTTCAAATCATGTCATCCCTACCTATTCTTCTCCGCTGGGCAGTAACGAGGGATCCATTGAGATCTATTCAAATTGTATATACAGATTTTCATTTTATGAGACTATATGCATGCAAGATGTATTGGGGATACAAAAAGAATCCTTTTTCTTTACAGTCGTATCTAGTGTGACAAGAAAGCGCTCTTAGTTCAGTTCGATAGAATGTGGATCTCCAAAACCCGATGTCGTAGGTTCAAATCCTACAAAGCGTGGTTTTCTTCTTCTTATATCGAATTAGAATGAAATAGATTTATTTAGTAACTTTCACAACCATCGAAATTTGATCTCCTGTGCCTGTGAATTAAAGAAAGGAGGAGGTTAATAAAAAAAAGAGATGTTAATTAATCAAAGGTCTAGTTGATCACCATCCATGTATTGTAAATATGTAGTTAGGAATAATACAACCAAAGTAATAGGAGTTAGACCTAACACGATTCCAAATAGAAAAACTTCAATCATTTTTCTTTGTTTGAAAGGAGAAAAAAAGGAGGTAATATCAATACCTAAATATTAATCTGAATTGACATGAATCTCAATGATAACAACAACAACAACCCAGTAAAATCCCACTAATGGGGTCCGGGGAGGGTAGTGTGTACTCAGACCTTACCCCTACCCCGAAGGAGTAGAGAGGCTGTTTCCGAAAGACCCTCGGCTCAAGAAAACAAAAAGACAAAAGGAGACAATATTAGTATCACCACATAAATCATAGGAAAAATAGGAACAACATGAAATCCAGAAGAAAGATACAAAGCAAAAACGATAGCTAGTAAATAGGTCCTGCACTGTGAGGCGAAATAGTAAGACACAACATTGCCACTAGCTATCTCAGACAAAAAAGCTACTATACTAGTCTCTTAATGACACGAAGTAAGGAAAGACTCAACTACCTCCTAACCTACAACGTAACGTAAGTAAATATAGAATACATGTAATCCCACAGAAAGATTTTTTTTGATGAATTGTTTATTTTAAATATTCAGTTTAAATAAGTCGTATCTTGCTCAGTCCAATAAATATAGCTGAGGTTCTAGTTAAAACCGCTAATAGAAAATCGACATAACTGGTTATAGTAAGCATGAAAGGGATAAATTAAATGAAAGATATTTTTTTATACATATGTTTAGAAAGCACTTACCTAAGTTTTCATTTTTTCAAATATGAGGATAGGCAAAATAACTCAATTTTAATTGAAAGAAGAAGTTGAATGAATTTTTTTTGATTCATCTATCATTATAGGTAGACAACACTAACAAAGATAAGGTGACAGACATATAAAAGAAATTGATTCATCATCTGTAACATCTATCCATCCCTCAATTCCAATCTACCAATTCATTGAGTAACTCTTGGGTAAACTATTAAACTAATAAGAGCGGTATCATCTAACTTCATTCAAGAATGAAACTTGAATTTTTATAGAATAAAATGCTAAAATCATTTATATTTTGATCATTTCTTTGATTCTGCTGAATTGTATCGAATCCATTTTCGATTTTAAAGCGAACAGTTACCTTATCAAACTAAAAAACTTTTTCTTTTTATTACAATTTAAGTTTAACTCATTAGATTTAGTAATATATTAATTCACATAATATCTTGAATGATTGAGAAGATGAAAAAGTTATCACACAATCGCTTAAAAAACTTTTTTTTTGGTCCAACTAGTAGTACTTTCTATTAGGTTCCACAATTTTTCTTTCCATACTGCCCTATCCTTGTAGCTAGATCAAGAAAGAACCTTTGGATCGAGATCCACAATTATGGATTCCAATTATTTTTTTTATTTTTGCTTCTCCGAATATGATCTACTACTCTTATTTGTAACTCGACCATTAACTTCTTCTTTAGAAAAAAGGATTCCGACAACAAAACTGCTTCCACAACTACGAAAGGAAAATTGCTATATCTCGCATCTACGGTATATAAGAATCTCTTTCATTGAATTGAAAGAATAATCTGTTGAATGGAAGATGATTTTACATCAACAAGTAAAGGAAAAAAGAAATTATTTAGTACTTACTTTTGATACTAATTCAAATTGCCTTGTTGTATCAGAAGAAGGATAGCTATACTAATTCAGTATACTCTCAAGACGCCCTTGGTACAATATTGATGATCTCACAAAGATACAATTTCAGTGAATTGTCATTTACTGATCTCACTTTTACGGAATCGATCCTCTTTGACTGTACAAGAATATGTGGAGTTCAGGTTGTCTGAAAGCACAAGAGAACGTTCGTTTGCTGATAGTATTACCAGTATTCGATACTGGGTCATTCACAACATTAATATACCTTCCCTATTCATTCCGGGTTGGTTATTTGTCAGCACCGATTTAGCTTACGATGTGTTTGGAAGCCCTCAACCAAATGAGTATTTTACAGAAAGCCGACAAGGAATTCCATTAATAACCAGCTGTTTTGATCCTTTGGAACAACTTGATGAATTTAATAGATCATTTTAGGAGGCCCTAATGACTATAGATCGAACCTACCCAATTCTTACAGTACGACGATTGGCTGTTCATGCCCTAGCTGTACCTACTGTGGTTTTTTTGGGATCAATATCAACAATGCAGTTCATCCAACGATAAACTTAACCCGAATTATACAGCTACGACACAATCAAACCCGAATGAACAAAATGTTGAATTGAATCGTACCAGTCTCTACAGGGGGTTATTACTCATTTTGGTAATCGCTTTTTTATTTTTCAATAATTTCTTCAATTAACAAAACCAAAGAAAATAAATAAGATTCTCTTACATCATTCAGAAGCATCTCATAATTTAATTATCCATGACTCTTTATGTCTATAGCATGACCACTTGATGAAATCAAGAGAGAAGTGGGGTAAATGGCCGATACTACTGGAAGGATTCCTCTTTGGATAATAGGTACTGTAACTGGTATTCTTGTGATCGGTTTAATAGGTATTTTCTTTTATGGTTCATATTCCGGATTGGGTTAATCCCTGTAGTAATCGAATGAATTGAGTTATCAACATGAAAACGTAAGAACTCAACGGGATTTCCAGTATCTCGACTTTGGATCATAGCACCCAAAAAGTCTATCTGTACAAATGATCGAGGCTTGTATTCAGAGTTTCCCTGGGGTTGGTAAGGTGAAATGAGGCCACCCTAGCCCATTGAGTGCCCTACCTTGGGCCATTGACATCATACGCACTACTGAAATAGATTTCGCGAAAAACCATCTATAACCGATCTTGGTTAGCCTT